TATATATTATGTGGTTATGACATTATGATATAAACTTGTTTGAAAATTGATTTGTAGTATTATATGTATACGCTAGCTTATAATGGATAATACTTATTATTACTAGTTATAAATAATGGTTTGCGATAACTATTTTAGAAAACTATATTTTAATTGATATCAAAATGAATTTTTATTTAAGCAGTTTTTAGGCAGTTTCATTTATTATATAAAATAGTATTGGATTGTCATGTTGCTACCTGAAATGAATGCGATTTGTATATTAAAATATTATATTTTGATTTTATGCTATTGAATTAATTGTGGTTTTATTGATTTTAAATGATTTATTTTTTAAAAAAAATTATTGGTTTTCGAATAAGGATTGCTTTGATAAGTTTATGTGACATATCTGACTCGTTTTCGAGGACGGATACGAGAAGAGGTGTTAAAAGTTCCATTAAAAATAAAAACAATGTGGTTCACAATGAAAACACAACAATAGTGTTTTCATTTATTAAGATCATATAAAATAAATAATTAAATAATTTGTGAAATAAAACATATAAGTAAATACTATTTTTAACAATGAAGGTAAGTATAATTAACACAAGTATAATACAGAACATGACAACATGTAGATAATTAATTTTATCATGATTATAACTACCTGATGCGTTTGTTGAAGTTATCAAAAATAAAATCTACTTAAAATAATTTGTAGTATTGATAATAAGCATGGTCGAAAGCACAAAAAGTGACGAGAGATTATTTTTATTAATAAATAAAATATAAAATAAAGAGGATAGTTTGAGTTTGTGTAGAATTGGGGGAAAAGAAGAATAAAGGAATGTAATATAGAAATGAATTCTAGTCAAGTTAGAGATCTTGATGTATTAATTCAAGACTTAGATTATTAATCTTCACAAAAGATAAATTAGTATTGATCTCAAATAATTTAATTATAATTTATTAGAAAATATGTGCATATATACCTCAGTTTCTAAATTAATTAACAATCATCAAGAAAAATATAAATTATCACTTCTCTTGTTTTATTTACAAAATAAAGAAAATTTCTGTGATACATGATTTATTTTAAATTTAGTATAGGGTCTTGCTAGTGTTTTGACTTTAATTTTTACCTTAATATAAATTGTCTAATATTTACATAACTATAAAAAACAATTTTTAACATTATTCTATAATTTATAATACTATTTTAAGAGTTCATCATTCTAAATAGGGGTGAACAAGATTTTTATTTCAATTTTAAGTTATTTGAGTCAACTCAAATTATTAATTTAATTTTTGAGTTCGATTTGAGTTTGAATTTTTGATATTTCGAGTTACTCGAAAAATAAAAAATTTGACTAAGTATTTGACAGTTTTATAATTTAGTATTTGTTTTCATTATTATTTAAATTTCTCATTCATTTTAAGTCTATTTTTACCAAATTTGAACTATATGCTCCTAAAACATCTAAGAATACATATGTACTTTCAATACCTCTTTTTTATAATAAATTTTCTATTTTTCAATCTAGTCCTTAATTTTTCATAATTTACTTATTTCTTCAATTCATCCTAAATTTTAAGTATATTTTTACCAAATTTGAACCATATGTTCATATACCACAATAGAATATTTATATAACTTCAATTTCTACTTTTTTTATACTAAAAATGTACTCTCTCACTCTCTTTTATTCAATCTCTTGACTTTGCATTTTACTCAATTTGGTCTTTTTACTACATTTGTTTGTAAATTATTTCTTCTCATCAACTTCTTGACTCATTTTTACCCTCAAAATACTTTCTTTGAAATATAATATTATGAATATATTTTATAATTTTAGATTGTATTTATATATTAAATAATATTATAATGTGAAAAGAATACATATATATATTATATGGTTAGAGAAAGTCAAAAAATTAAAATAAATCCTTACCATAAACAATTATAATAAAATTAGTATAAAAACTCGAATAACTCGACTCGAATTTCTTAAACTCGACTAGAGAAAATTTCAAGTTAAATTCAAGTTATAAAATATGACTTGTCAATTCGAATAACTCAAATTTTTTTATTAGACTCAATTCGATTGAATGCTCACCTCTAATTTTAAACCTAGGAATAAGAATAACAGATTAATTAATTGAAAAAAAGGTTTACTCCCTAAATGGCAAAAGTAGGCGATACCTAAGAAGGGAAGAAAGAAACTGATAGGGAGTTAAACAAAGAAGAGAAAAGAAGAAACAACAATTATTTCGTAAGAACAGAGCACCAGACGAGTGTGATCAAACCACGTGGCGTAAATCGGACAAGGAAAAAAAGTGAAACACGAGAGACGAGGCAAAAGACTTACTGCTCCGTTCCCGACAAGGTGTACAATTGTCCACGTGGGAGCACGCGGCTTAGTAGGGACAAGCTGGTGGATGCACGTGTCAACTAGTGCACTGTTCACCGTGGATTGCGGGGATTTTCTGTACGGACGTTCTTTTATTTTCCTTTCTTTTTAAATAGGGGATTGTGCCTTGTGCGTCCAAGGTAGACTTTGCAAATGTTGTCTTCTTTCTTAAAAGGAAATATTTTATTTGGTCTTCCTTTTTATATAGTATAATATATTATAACCTGAAGCAGTAATTATTGACAACAGTGGTTTTTTTTTAAAAAAAAAATTGGTTCCTTTTTAATTTTACGAATTATTATTATTTTATTAGATTTGGTAAACTTTCAATCACGAACATAATCCTTAAGCACCAAGTATTAGATTGTGCGTCATTAATTAATATATTAAATCATAGTATATACCATCGATTATTGTTTTAAAAAAATAAGATATAATAATTTTTTAACTAAAACATATTATTTGATTTAATGATAATAGTAATTTATATGAATTACAAGATTAATATTATGATTTGTAGTGTGTGAATTTATATACAAATAAATTTTAACATTTTCGTGTGATGTGTGATTAAAAAATTGCATGTGGTTTTTTTCTCTTTCATTTTTATTTAACTAGTGACGATATCAATTTTATTATTAGTTATCAACCGTATGTGGGTATTAGTTCTCTTGCTTTTTATATCATATTTTTTATTTTCTGTTTTTATTGATTTTCTTTTAATTTTGAATAGGAATCTATATTCTTGTGATATATTAGTTTTTTTGACACGATTCTTATGATTTTTTTGCATATATTTGTGTTCGTTTTGGTACTCACACAAATATTATCATGACATTATTTTTCGATTGGTCTGTCGGATGTCACGTATAGTCTTTGGTAAAAAGTTGTTTGTAAATGTAATAAGAATTGTGTAGCGAAACAACTGCCAGATTGTTTGGTTCTCTCATCACTCTTTTATTACTTCGTAAATCATCTCATTCAACAGAGACAATGAGTTTTTTTATAAAAATTAGTGGGTTTTGATGTTGATCGTCATTCTTAATTGAAAATTTTATTCTTCGTATATTTAAGTTTAATATTTATTTATATGAAATTTTAGTGATTATTATCTCCAACTTTTCTCTATATTTTGACACGTTATGATTTTAATTTATTCCATTATTAATAAAATCTAGTTTCCATTGTTAAAAAATTGCATTACCCTTATAAATACTTCGTAATTATCTTTTCATGAAACTTTTAGATTTCTTATCTTGTTTCCAATTACAAATCTAACATCATTATTCTACAAGGTATAAGACATTGCTAAAGTACATACACAACATAGAAGAAAATAATTAAATCACAATTCAATTTTTAAAATAATTTAAAAATGATAAGAATATATGAATATTCTAAAATTATATAATATAAATTATTAATTTTATTGAACAGAGATGTACCAATTCTAAAGATTCTGCTTTGGATCTAATTACGCTATGTTTCACGGACTTACAAGTCTAAAAGTTAATCGTTCTGGTCAATTGCTTTTATCGAAAGGTTCAACTCATTGCTGTAATGTTCATAGTAGAATTGAAATACCCATTTCCCCCAAATTTTATTGATATTCATGATCCAGTTGCTTTGTTTTGATATTTTTCTTTTGCTATAAAAAAATAGTAATACACACCGATAAGTATTATACTCACCAACAACGTCTGAATTAAGAGGAACAATCACATACCCTTAACATGAATCATAAATCAAACAAGAAAAAATAAAAACAATAATACAGAAATTTAAAAACATTTTAATACAGACATATTGAATGTTCGATTTAACAAAATCTGCAAAAGCAAACAAATGAAAAACTAGCTTCATAAAACTAAAATCAATGGGAAACTTGGTATGTCCCTAGACTGTTTTGAAAAGGCAATGTCGAGTTCTGTGCTAGACTGATACGACCAGCAGTGTAATATGACAACTCATGTTGGGGCATCCATATATGTATGATATGAAGCACTTTTGTATGTTCATTTCGAGGACTACATTTCTTCCAGCATAAGAAAAATAAACCATGAAAATAATTTATCAGAACTCATGCATATTAATATGGATGGTTCAGAGTTTCCATGCTCAATATATACAAATTTATGTTATATATAAACGTTTGATTCAAAACATGAGAGACTCTATATAAACAATCCGTTAAAAGTAATTATTACATGAACTCATTCCAAGTTCATTTGTCGCACTTCCTTTGCAGTGTTTAGAAGCTTCAAACAAAGAATTCGTTTTTGGAATCTGTCACTAAAACAAATATACAATTCCTTGTACATATATTAAGTGAACAAATTCATGTACATATTTGCATTCAAGACATGTTTTCATATTAACATAACATAAATCAAGAATGTTTTAAGAATAATAATACTTTATATGGCATGTGTGTGTTTTGTTTTAGCTGTCACCATTCACCAATTTTGGAAAAGATGAATCTAGGTTGTCTTTTTTTGCAGCATAATATATGTCTTTGATTATTATAAGTAACAACTATAATATAACTAAATAAGCGACCTTTCTCCGTTCCAATGCATTCTTTCAAATATATACACTTGTTTCTCTCTTAATTTCGGTAAATTCTATAGATATAATTATTTAATTAAGCAAACGGGGAACTGGTTGATTCATGACAGAAGGAGAGTAATTTAGATAAATGTCATGTTTATATATGAAACAACATAGACATCGTTACATTAATATCTACTAGTATTGGCATTGACCAATACACACACACACACATAACTCTTAACGAAATAAGCCATTGAACTATCAAAGTAGACCACAAGAGAAATACCTTAAGAAAATAAAACCCATAGAAACGATATCGTTCAGACAATTTGTTGATGGCAAAAGGAGCCTATTCTTCTTTCGATTATATAGTACTTCCTGTAAAAAAAAAAGGAAAAAGAAAGTCTAGTAAGTACCAAGCAAGTTTCCAAAAACCCAAGCATACCAAATCTTGAAGTATATCAGGAAAACTGAAGTACAAGATTAGTTTCACAGAATACCAAATGGCATTCACTTTTGACACCATCATTTTCTTTTTGGTACTATTCCTTCCCAATAGGCAATTACCTCTGCTTCCTAGCCTAGTAACTGATTATCCCTATCACTACCATTCAAAACTGACCCCTAAAAGAAGGGTACCCACTAAACTTGGTACACCCCAAAATTGGTGGGGGGGGGAAGCTTAAAATATGATCAAGGTGCAACACAGATTCCTGTAATCAAGATAGTCTGAGTTTAATTATTTACTAGTAGCAGTGGCATCAGCAAAGGCTGCTGGTTGCAGCGGTGGAGCTAGTGGTGGCGCCACCTTTTGCTTAGGCCTCTTCCTTTTCTTCTCATAGCTAACACCTCTTGCTTTGGACTGGAAATCCCTGACTTCCCTTAAGAAAATCCTAACAGCTCGAGCTCCAAAAGGGTTCCCTTCCGGTCTGCCCCCATGTTCCTCATAAGCGGCTCGGAGTCGGCCAATGAGAGCATCAAGGCTACCCCACGCTTGTCTAAGAGGACAAGGGCAAGGGGCCGGTGGGTTCGGGAGACCAAAGAAAGGACATGTCTGGTTATGAACCTTGGTCTTCCCAAACTGATCAAGGTACCTAAGGAACTCGAGAACATGAGCACCGCTACACATTGAAAGCGACAATGGTGGCCTGTGGTTTCTCAGATATTGACAAAAAGTGTTCCAATCTCTGCGCTTCTGGTTCTCATATCGACTCGGAGTGGACGGTGCAGGTAGAGTCGCAGTGGTGGTGGAAGTAGGCGTTAAAGTGCTGTTTGCTACGAAGTTTGAGGCTAAGATCGGTGTTGGAAAGTTATTTGGATTGCTTTGTGGGGAAACCAAGTCCATTATTTTGCTGGTGTGTGTTATCTTTGTTTTAGGGTTTCAGTCCTCGCTCGTTTCTTCTATTTTCTTATTGAAAGAAAGAAAGAAACACCGATCAGGATTATCAGAGAGAATCCAGATATGAATTGAAGATAAATAATTATGGAGAGAGAACAACAGTTTCAAAGCTTTGATTTTCACTTCAGGTACATAAACTATGATAGTTCAAGAAATGATGAAATGCAAGATTCTGCATGGCTTCCATGGCAGAACTGATGAAAACATATATAGAGAGAAACGGTCAGATTAGAGAGAAACCAGAAAAGGGTTACCCTTTCCTTCCTTTTTTAGATCGAAAATATAGTCATAAAATAAAATTGATAAGTTGTTTCATTTTGACGAGGCTGGAGAGGAATGGATGAAAGACTGCAAAATTTGGGGTTTGGGAATAGGGTTTAAAACGATGAGAACAGAGGTGAAATGATCAGATCTTCATCTTCGAGCAAACTGAAGTTCAAAGATACTATTGATAAAGTAAGAGAGATATGAACAGATGAACTGAAACCAAAAGCTAAAGAGAGAGAAATTGAAGTCACAATCCAATAGAGAGATGGGGAAGGGTTCAGTAAATGAAAGACCCAATAGTTAATAAGTAGTAGTTGTGTATTATATATAAATGAGAATTTGTACGGTACGATACTTTAATATAAGATAAAAATAAGAATTATTGATTTTGTTATTATTTAAATAAAAATTAATAAAAAAATATTTAAAAAATTATTATTTTTACATAAAATATTAATTTTTTTAATATTTTTGATAAAAATGTCTAACAATAATAAAATCAATAAAAAAATAATAAAACCAAAAGCATTTTATTAAATCCAATAAAATACTCAATAATAATAAAACTGATAAAAATAATAATGTTTTTAATAAATTTTTTTAATCATAAATTAAGACTGTTGTGAATATATATATATATATATATATATATATATATATATATAAATAAAATAAAACTGTTTTCCCAAAATAGGACAAGTTTGGCAGTGAAGCTGCAGCCGACAATGACCCAAGGGGCTGTACCCCAATATTCCACACTTTCATTTTCTTACCCTTTGTGGATTTCATAGTTAATTTAAGATATTCTTTTAAAAAAATATTATCTTCTTGATGATGATTATTTTTACTTCACAATTATTTTATCTAGTTCATATTGAATGTTAAAAAAAAAGGTGTTTTTAACTTATTTTTTGGGAGTTATAGTCTTAATTTCATTTTTACATATAGATGGATTTTCGCATATGAGTTTTGGTTGTCTCAATCTCGGCGCAAAATTTAAGAATTTATATTTAATTTGAATCGATTATGATTTTTAAATAATTTTATTTTACACAACTTCTAACTCCATATATTAGAAAAACAATCAAACTTCAACTCGAACCTAAAATTTTAGTAAAAAATGAAAAAAAAATATTGACACCTGTTAAAAAATAGAGTTAAGTTGAAACTTGTTTGTCAAGGAAAATTTTTATCCCTAATTTTTTTAGATAAATTTTAAATTTAATTCTTATCTTATTTATGTGGAAGGAGAAAAAGAAATTATAGAAAAATAAACGAGAGTGCTCATAATGGGTCTAGAATTATGACCTAAGAAAATAAAAGAAAAAAAGTGAACAACTTGAACAATCTCAATATATGATAATTTTTATAACTATTGATATTTGATATTTTAGTCGATTAATCTGAATATGATATTATTTCATTCATGATAAAAAAATTCAAATTACATATTATTTAATAGATTAAATATCTCATCATATTTAATATATTGATAATTAGTTAAAACTGATATTATATAAGAAAAACACTTGTAAACACTAATTAGTAAATACCCTTACAACTTTACTTTTCAATTCCAAAAGGCTAAAAGCAAAGAGGATTGGAAGCTAAGTTCACAATTTTGTAAAGTGTAGGAACCTTCACAACAATTGGCCAAATCCCTCTTAGTTTTCCCCCCATTTTTCATGCCTACACACAAAGGCTTGTAGGATAAGCCCTTGAGTTGAGTTGAAGGCTCTCTTCAGTTTTCACAAACAAGAATGAAGCACAATATTACTCTTTTATTGTCAAGAGGAATTTAAGTCTTTCAATCTCGTATCTTTTGTTTGGAGTATTTACATTGATCTTTCAAGCTAAGTTCAAAACAATTTATTTATTGTGTACAAAATTAAGGCAAGTTTTAAATTATCCCTTTCACTTTAGTTTATCCCCAAAAAATACAAAAGAATGGATTAATACAAACACAATTAAAGAAGGTAATAATACAAATTAAAATATATAAAATTAAGGTAGATTTTTAGCAAGCACATCTGATTGGGTTATCAATTTATTCATTTTCCTTCCCCTCTCTTTTAAGTAGGATTAAGATTTAATTTAGTTTTTGGAAAAAAATAATAAGCTTTAAATTATCCCTTTTACTTTAGTTTTTTAAATTTCATTTCTTTTATAATGATATTTATTTTTGGGAAAAAAATCAAAGAAAGACAAGATCACAACCACCCAAATCCCTAAAAATAATTGACAAAAACCCTACTGATTTTTGAAAAGAAAATCGAAGCTCAATAAACATATAGATCACCCAAGCGTTATTCACAAATCCATCAAATCCGTGTCTGCAAAAGTAAAGCAATTCATCAATCAATAGGCACCATTTGTTAGGCAAATATTTGAGAGACATTGTTAAAACATTATAATATATATTTTCACATATAATGGACGATTCTTGAAGCGATTTTTTTTGTATATATAAAAAGATTTAAACTCAAAATTTATTAAAATAATATCAATTTATTTATCATTTGAATCAATTCATTGATTGATAATATATATGATTTTAGTATGTTATAACACATGTAATTTATAATACGCAGACATTGATTAATAAGCGAAAACTATACACCAAAGGACTTTATTAATTTTTCTGCTAAAGGGTTGATTTGATTTTTTTTTTATGAAGATTTGGTTATTTTTTTTCGTCAAGTGCCTTTTTTATCATTAACTTATAATTATTTTATAATTTAATCATTAGATGGGTATGATTTTATACTAACTCTTTTCTAATGTATTTTAATGTGAGGCAAAATTTTATTCACTGAAAGAGCAAATATTTTATTGAAAGGATCATTGAGAAAACTTTATTCCGTTAATTTGAGAATGAAATTATTGATAAAGAAAACGTCCATCAATTTGGTTTGATTTATGTGAAAGTATATGGCATCTTACCCGTTGGATTTTATACTTTAAACGGTTGTCCTTTTCTGTTTGATCATAAATGACTACAATTAAGTTTACTAAACAATGACATGACTTTTTCATTTTTATTTTTTATTTCATATTCGATATATCACCGCCATATATATATATATATTGAATCATGGTTTTTATCCAAAAATAATTTTTATAATATTTTCAATCAAACATTAATTCTTTAAATTTTACCGATCTAACATAATTTATAACGAGGGAGAATAAGGCGCGTTACGTAAAACGCGCCTTGCAGACGTAGAGGGAAGACGAGTTGTAGGGGGCGCCTTCATGGGTTCTGGTTGAGCTAGCGTCACGGTGGATGCTGCAGGACGTGCCTTTAAAGGCTCATTTCCGGGCACATGTCTTCTAAACTAGATACAATTTAAGGTTTATGATTTAGGTTTTTTTTGGTTAAAGTGGTTTAGAGTGAGTATTTTTTTTATGTGAAGTGGTTTAGGGGTTTTAAGTGATTTTAGAGTTTTTAAGTGGTTTAGAGTTTTTAAAATTGTATTAGGATTTATTTTAACGGTTAGGGGTTAGATAAAAATTAAAATATTGATTGTGAGAAATAAACCTTAAACTGAAAATAATGAATTTTAAGCATTAATTACAAAAAAAAATATATAAGAAAATGACATATTTTAAAATAAACAAGCTCAAATGACATTAATTGAAGTAAAAGAAAATGAAACAACACAAACTGAGATTTCAGAAACTAAAATTACATGAGTGATGCTCAACGGTTAAGTGATGATAAAAGAGATTGGCATTTTTTATTGTGGCCTAGGTTTCTACAATGCTCACATCTTTTGTTTTCTTTTGACGTATCTCGAATATCCATGTCACAATGAATTCAAGTGGATTATGGACGACATGCCTCCCTTAATAAGAACGAATCTGATATAATCGTAAGCCAAGTCTGAATCTCACCTGAGTCTTTCTTATTACTATGGGGCAAACTCAAATTCATATACCTTGAATACTTTTGAAAGTTGGTATACGGGATCCACAAAATGTTCATAGTCTTGACGGGAATATGAACAAGCTACTATGACATGGGAGCATGGATACTTCAGAGCTTGAAAAACCCCACATTCATACCACCTTTCTTGTAAATTAACTCTGAAAGAGTTAGATTTAATCCATTGATAAGTTGTGGTATTTATGTGACACAAAAAAGTTCATGGGTTCGAGAAAAGCTTGTTACCAAAATTCCATTTGATGCAACAACATTTTTTCTGGAGATCTGCTACTATTCTTAGGTAATAAACACTGCCGTTTTGAATCCAATTTAGAGATTGTCCTCCAATCTTGGCAAAAAGCACTCCCAAACAAAAACACGTTGTTTTAACCAAAATAGTTACTGGTAATGATGTGTCGTCTTTAAGGCCGAATTAATAGCCTCAACCAAGTTGGTTATCATATATCCATATCGTTATTTACCATCATATGTATTTGTCTATATTTTTTGTTGATGTAGTTGATGTAATTGTATCCTTGCTCATTTTTTACCTTGCAAATCTTAAAGCATGAACTCAAACCTTTGAGGTAATAGTTCATAACCTACACTTCATATGTAATACTTACTGTTAAGTACCCATAAAAAATGAAAATGATTGAGAAATAAAATTAGGCATCGTGACATACCCACGCGCACAAGTAATTGGCGTTCATCATTATTCTTAAATTTTGCACGACAGTTTGTAGTAATATGTCAGATACATAACCGATATTGG